AACCACTACAGCGTCACTTTCCTTTGGCTTCCGAGCCACATAGGAATTCCTGGCAATGACAGAGCTGATTACTTGGCTGCAAAAACTCCCAACCTCATAAAACCAACCTCGTTTTCTCCGTGCAAGATCTAAAGAATTATGGCAAACATATGATCGATAATATAATCCAACTAGAATGGGACTTAGACATGAATGATAATAAGCTTCATGAAATCAAAAGGGACTATTTTGAAAATAATGTAGTTAACTTACCTAGAAGAGATTTCGTTGTGCTCACTAGAATTCGTTTAGGACACACGAAACTTACCCATGAACACCTCCTTAAAGGACAGAACCAGCCGATTTGTGAAACATGTAATCTTCCAATATCCGTCAAACACATTATCTTTGAATACCCAAAGTATGCGTTAAAACGAAAACAACACGGTATCGTGGATAACCCAGAGGTAGCCCTTTCCTTCCAAAATAACAAGGCTATGTTGGATTATATAATAGGACATCGACATAGGTATATAAACATATATAAATATTTACGGAGAACGTTTAGTTTAGACATAAATATATAAATAATGGGATAAAGTGACGCTAAAAGACTCTACAGTCGATGCGTCTTTAACACATATATCTTTCTCTCTCTCTCTCCCCATTTATACTTTTCCAAATTTCCATACCGTTGAATTTTTTAAGACCCTTAAGATCAAAAGGCGTTTCTATGGTAATAGCATTTCGATTTCATTCTTTGATAGTTATTATTAATTTTGACTAACGTCATATTTTTTTGCTTTCAAATGCACCCTTTATAGGAGTATATAGAATATACAGGGTCCTGCAAGAATGCAACAGTGTGTGGGTCATCTCTGGACCCTATAAAAAATAAGCATTTTGTGTAAGTGCATACTTAAAATATGTACTAGGGCTTATTTCAGGAACATACGAGTACTTCATAATCGCTTTACATAATCTTAAGATGTTATTAAATTTGTTTTCATAAATAATTTCAGAGATATAAATAAATAAATGAAAAAAAAATCAGCTTTTAAAAAATATTAAAGATAATATGTGTGTTGAAATCATGCTTACATGCTTACATTATGCTTACATGCTTAAAGTTGATATATACTATAGTTGATATGTTCTTACTTTATCATAAATATCGTTTTTTTACAGGGTGCAATGATTTAAATCAATTTGATTTAAATCCGAGTTACGAAGATTTAGCCATTTAGGATAGGACTTTAATTTGCACCCTGTTTTTTATATCATAGAGGGTGTTCAAAATTCCATGCCAAATTTTCTAAAATAATATGTGTTATTCCAAAATATGAAATAAATTTTCTTCGTTAATTTAAATAGAACATTCTGTACATTATTGTTTTGTTAGATAGACATTTTTGTTATTTAAAATTATTTTTTTTTAGTGGATTTGCATATATTTGGTTTATAATAAGTTTAAGCTTTGACAATGACATTTACAAAAATTCTCAAAAGAAATTATCCATATAAATTAGTTATCAGTTGGTCCTCTCCAAAAATTACTTTAACATAAGTCATAAGTCTTTTTGATCTAATATCGGATCGATTAGCATGAAAAAAAAATGATCATATTATATAAGCGATACCAATTTAATTTTTAGCTACGTCATCGAGGACGCGATTTTTAAATTCATTGTTGCCAACTATGGACGTATTCGGCATCGGACTAACTAACTGGAATTTAAATTTTCCGCTTGCGATTCAGATGGTAGCTCTGCTGTAAAAAATGTCAAATTGCCACATTTATTTATTTCCTGACATTGTCATTCGTTTTGACACTTAGTTTTGAATTACGAGTTTTTGGTTTAAATTAATTGTGTTGTGATACTTTAGACATAAAAGTGTTTAGACATAAAAGCAGACCTAATAGACATAAAAGCAGACCTCGCAGTTGAACATTGTTCTTTTTAGAACCTCTTTTAGTGCGAAGTGTACAAGATAGCTTAATAGCCGTAAAAACTCGTCGCAACTTTATTAGAATATTTTGAACGGAAAACCGGTATTAATGGCTCTTTATGTCCCTTAAGTGCCATTCAGGAGGTGAGTTTTATCGATGTAAATAAGAACTATTTATATATTTATAATTTATTTATTTTTGTTTCATAAAATATTTTGATTAAAAGAAAACATGTCAAAGTGGGCAACGGTGTGCCAGTCAAGCTTAATCACGGGACTAAAAGTTTATTTGGTAAAATCTATATGTACCTTCTTTTATTTACTTTTTTATTGTGTGTATTTTTAACATAAAATTTGCAACTTCTACTTGATGGGTCAAGGTTTTATCTATTGACACACACAGCCACGTAGTGTCAGTAACACGAGCAAACAGCCGACTAATTTTATTTAGTTTGTGTGTGTTTTTTATTCACAGCCAGGCGAAAAACGTTCCGGTTCCGAGCTAGATGAGCTCGTGTTCGCTCCAGCAAATTAGTTCTCTAATTAAAGGCTTAATTGGTTTAGTGATACGCCGATGGAAACACCGTTAGTTGATTAATACACAGGGCGGGGTTCCTACTGGCTTTAATAACACCAGGTAGCGCTGCGAGCAAAGAAAAATGGGCACTTACGTTCTTTTCATTAACCTAACACAAAAGAACGATAATTTGGTCAATAAAGCATACGTGGATATTTTCCATTTTTAAATAACCTTTCATTATTAAGTTTTGTCTATTAAAGGTTGATGCCTTGAATAAAGAAATGTAATTAAAAATACAACATGTACAAAACAGAATCCGCATTGGCCGTTGTTTTTTAGCTTCAGTCTATGTTCGAGAATTGAGAGACAGTGTCCTGTTAAAATCAACATTCCGAAAATTGTTCTTACTTAAATCAAGGAAAATCTTTCACCTTTCTCGGTCGTAAAGCCTCATTCAGAGACGCAATTAGTGGAATAAATTAGTGGTTTCAATTAGCGTAGAAGTTTGTTCTTTTAATTTCAATGTAATGAACGTCAAAATTAGTTTTCAATTAATAGAAAAAGTTATCAAACTTTTAACTTTTCCACTAATTATACTTCAAAATTTGCGATAAATGTCATTTTGCCCTTTGACTATTTATCTTCCGTCAAGAGAAATTGTGGTTAGAAATCAAAAGTTGATTGTTTTATAAGCTAAATATTAGGCTTTCTCTATGGATACAACTGACTAATGCAAGCTGTTGCTAGGATACTCTATTAATTTTAATTGCGTTTTTTAAACATTGTGAATGATCGTAAACTAAAAACTTCTTTACCTAATTTACAAATCAAGCGATTTGAGGCATATTTCCTGACTCAAAAATTCCCAATAATCTCATATAAATAATAGTTGTCGGGTTAATAAACATATTTTTCCATCTGAATTATGTTGCTTGAATTATGTTCAACGTAAAATTTTGGCTATTGGCTTTTCCATGGTAGTTTCCGTGTGTGAAATTATTGCACACGTTCAAAGTATAGTAGTATAATCAAAAAAATCGTTGTAATTGTCTAACAGCTCCACAAGTTCATTTTCAGTGCAGTTTATTAAGAGTCTATTACGCTGTACTTTCGGGTGGCTCTTAGGGGTCGGGTAAAGAGGGTGTGTGGCCGAAGGAAATATATATTAGGCTTAGCCCGATCTTGTCGTGTTAAGCCACACCCGAAATTCCAAACACACGTGCTTTGATAAGGCTTGATTAAGGTTTACAGAGCTTCAGCATTTGCCATAAAATAGCGAGCAATTTGTTACAAAACCATATAAATTATATATCACTGTAATCACAAAACTTCAATCTGTTTCCGTATTGTAACAGAATTTTAAATTATGTCTTTATTTTCGATAAAATTTAGTCCAAACATAAAGAATATTTTGTTGATCAAAATCTTAAAAATAAAGAAGTTGTCTAAAAATGTGCTACAATACGGATATAGTATAATCCTTTATCTTATCCTTTATTTTTCTTCATTTGTGTAAAAATACCTAGCCAGTTTTACATGAAACGTTAAATGCCGAACGGAGGTCGAACGGTGGCGTAGAGGTACAGGCTCTCGTCTACCAATCTCAAGGTAGTGGGTTCAATTCCCCGGCATTGCATCAGCCGACTATTTTTAATAAAATAAAAATAGTTTGGGTACCTAGGTCGACTCAGCCTTAAATGAGTACTTGGGATTCACAATCCTGAGGTAATAATAGGCGGTTGAAGCGTAGTGCTAGCCACATTACCTTTCTTGTATACCGAACGGCTCTAGTATGGCAAGCTGTACCTTGGTACTCCCAAGGCGTTAAACGCTATATACGGGAGCTATTATTATTACTATAAATGCCGAACGTTTATTTTGCTACTTTTTCGGACTAGTGCAATGGACGATGGGTTTGTTTTTAGAAAGTTCATAACAAGACAAATAGAATACAAAAAATAATATAAATGTGTTCCTTTAAAAAAACATTGGCTCATATTTTGAAAATGACAGCTTCCAGCGAAAAACTAGTTACTCTACTACTAGTTACTACCCAGTTTTCACCTTTTCAGTAAGTTATAAGATAACCAAGATACAAAAGGGGTCCAGATTTTTCCAAATTTGCCATGTATTTCAGGAACTAAGAGGGCTAGGACAAATCTGTGTGAAGCATCTTTAGTTTTATAAAAAGTAGCTAGTTGTAGTAATGTGAAAACCGCATTTTTTTGATTTCTACTCATCTACTCAAAACCCATAAGACATATGCAAATGGGATACCCTATCTCTCGGTGGAAGAATAGAACTTTTAAGGTTATTGATGATGCTATTTCCTTATTTAAGCTGATCGACTCATCTTAAACCAGAACCTCCAAAATTAAAATATTTGTTTTTATACTGTTGTTCAAACCTCTAAAAGCATCAAAAGCGTCTAGCCGCTACTACTATTGGATATCGTCTCCACACTCATCGGACAGACTTTAGATAATAATTGTTTTTTTTTTGGTTAAATATAAAAGCTAGTTTTTTTATACTTTTTTCTTTTTTTTTCCAGAGCGGAATGGTCCAAGGATGTAAAAGACTGTGGACTGCACTGCAAATACTATGGAGCTCGATCTATATTGTTTGTGGAGCCTTCCAGCTTATGGCAGCCATCTTCTTCCTTGTGTCAGTCCAGGAGCTAACATTGTATGGCGTACTCGTAGCAGGGTCATGGGTAAGATTCGTTTGTTTTAATTATATAAATGCCATTGTATTACAGTTGGGGGTTGGAACATTTGGTGTTACACCAGAAAATTACAACACTAAATCACCACAATACACCAAAACCAGTGAATAATAGTGTAGATAACCCAACAACTTACATTTAACAATGATAAAATCATAGGTTGACAACATGACAACTTAAGGTATTTTAACATTTGACTATCGGCTTGTAAGAAAATGTTCAAATTTAGCTTGTTCAAAAAAAGGTCTGTCTATGCTGAATGCACTGGCATAACTACAGGGGTGCCCCCCCCCCCCGGATACTGCTGTGCACCCCCAGAGAAATCTTGAATTATGACTCTTTGCTACGTATTAATTTTTATTTGCTTGTGATGTAGTAAAAATGACGTTTTCTAGTTTTGTTTCGTTAAAATTATTTTGTTGTGTTCAAAAAATGTGTTAATTTTTATTTTTTTGAGAAAATTTGTAGGTATTTAAGTCTATGAAATTTATTGATAGAGAAATTCATGTAAACGTTTTATCCAAAAAATGTGTTTTTTAATATTATTCTTCATTTTTTAAAGAACAAAAGACCTAGGCCCTCCCTGGGCGCAACCCCAGGCCCCTCTAGGATAAATTGCTAGTTACGCTAATGGCTGAATGTGTATTCAGCATAGACAGATCTTTAAAAAACCTATGACCCTACGACTTAACTGCAAAATTGATACGAGAGCCGATATTTGGACAGTTCAAAATTTGCATGAGATTTTCTGTTTCCAACGACGATACACCAGCCGGTATATTAAAACTTAAGTTGTAGTGTTCAAAATTTAAGTGTATTTAAGTGTAGTTAATATACCGGGTGCGTCTCAAAAGTGGCTCACCCCTATAATTTTCTTATTCCTTCAGATAAAAAAACGAGATTCGGTATGTTAGTATATGACATAAATTAGGATTGATTGACGTATTCAATTATTTTTGGTCACTTCCTGTTTCACCGGAAATGACTACAACTTTTGATTTTAAATGGCACTTTCGGCGTTTTTTACTTTATTCGATAGGAAATGACATTCTGAATAGAATGACATATCATATGTCAACTTTTGACATTCTTGCTCAATAAAAAATCGTATTTTAAAATTCAATCTAGAGTACCCTGGCTATGTTAAAAATACTAATTCTTAATCAAGGAGCCTTGGAAAAATAGATTTGATTGTCTAATGTTTTTAGTGTCTTGTTCTGGCCAGTTAGAAAATGCTCAAATCGTATTTTCAATCATATCTCAATTTTTTCAAATGAAACGAGGGTGGCTTATTAGCATTTTTGGAAAAAGCATTTTTTACAAATAATTTGATACCACACACTTGGTATTTCGAGTCAAATTTTCGTTACCATATGCGAAAATGTCAAAAGTTGACATATGATATGTCACTCTATTCAGAGTGTTATTTTCTGTCGAATAAAGTAAGAAAATACCGAGGGCGCCATTTAAAAAGCAAAAATTGTAGTCATTTCCGGTGAAACAGAAAATGACGGAAAACAATTATTGAATACGTCAATCAAACCTAATTTATGTCATATGCTAATATACCAAATCACGTTTTTTTAACTGAAAAAATAAAAAAGTTATTGGGGTGAGCCACTTTTGAGACGCACCCGGTATAAACAATTTATTTTGTTTTTGACAAAAATTATTAAAATGTTATTTAGGTATGTTATGCATTATTCAATATTTTGTAATATCAATGCCCTAATTTATTGCAAACTTCTTGATGGTTACCTACTGTATTATTTATATATAAATATAGTAACTTTAATCGGCACATTATAGGAAAATCTTCTAACGATTAATACGTAGCTATTATAAGAACTTCTAAACGAATCAATGAACTTTTGTCAATACGAAACCTTTAATTCGAATCGTACTAGAAACGAAAACTTTTATACCCGACAGTCACGGAACAGTTTATAACAGTTTTGCATGTTTACCAACACGAAAATAACAAGTCCCGGCCATGAAATAAGGTCAAAGAATCGCTAGGCGACTAGTATCGTAGACTCGAAAACATTTCTGTACCGTTTTAGAGTTTTTTTCGCGACATCGATTGGCTAGAAAATGGAGCAATAGAAGAACCACTGCGTTCCAATTACTCGCTGACAAGCACCGACTTTGCTTTTAAAATAGCCCTATGTTCCGAATGATTTTATTCGCATATGTGACTCCGTTTTCTGTCATCCTTTTTTTTATTGTATTTTGACGTTAAGGAATAATAAGTGGTTTTTAGAAAATTAGGATATATTTTTTAGACGGTTTATTGCTGGTTTGCCTATCAACTCCTTTTGAGAATGTATCCAATTAAAACTAATAGGTAGGTACTAAAAAACAAAACAAAAAAATTTTTAAGTTAAATTGCACTCGGTTGAGCGATAGACATATTCACTAATATTTATTTTATTTTTATTAAAATCGACATCCATTTAGAACAATAATTATACAGGGTGGTCCTAATAGTATTCCGGAAACTTCGGCAGCATATTCTTCAGATAGAAATAAGCAAAAAAGTTCGTATAAATGTATCTCCTAAAATGCTTATTTTCGGAGATACAGGGTGTAGAAGTTTCATTTTTATTTCGATTTTTTCCAAATAATTTATGAAGTAACGTCAATATTTGGATGAAGATTGGTGTCGGTTAGTTTTTTGATATGAGAAATTTGATTTTGATGTCAACATGACTCCTAATAGTAGAGGGCGCCACCTACATGTATTTTAACTGTTTTGAAAAGTAATAACTTTTCGTTCGTACCTGTATAAAACTGCTGAAATATAAATATACATTTACGAAGTTTTCTACGTAAAAAAGATCTCTACAATAATATACTTTTCGAAGCGTCTTAAAATTATATTTATTTCATCATTAATAAGAGACTCATAATCCTCTTAAAAAAGAGTAAACACGAAAATGTGCAACATAATGGCTAATGTAGCGAAGATAAAAGGATAATGTGATTTGGTAAAGCAGACTCTGACAAGGGAAGTCCATTAGAGGATGCATCGGCGTTGTTCAGGCACAAAGCAAGAGAAACGAGGGGCAAGGGGCGAACAGATAAAACGAAGACAAAGGCTTGTTTTAATTAGTACTGTCAAAATAAGGACGGTGGCCGCGTGGCTTTTGTTCGGAACCAATCTAAATTGTTTCTGAAAATACTGGTAGATAATAAACAGGATGTTTTAAGCCTTCGAATTGACTGTCTGACCTAGATCCAAACAATTTCTTGGAATTTATCTCTAAAATGATTAAAGTAGTAAAATATTTCTTTTCTTAAACGCATTAGAAGTCTATTTCCGTAAAATAAAACACTAATTCACCACAATCCGCCAAAACAGTTTATTTTTGCACTGGAAAAACTCTAATTTGCACTGGCAGATGAGTTTTAATCATCTGCTGACGATGCCAACATGATTAGCGAAACACGTGTCCAGTGCAAAAGTAAAGGGTTTTGGTATATTGTGATGAATTAGTGTTTTATTTGGCTGTTGTATAGTCTGTGAAACGAATAACTTTGAATTTGACAGATCCCGCGGGCTTTTCTAGTGTTAATTTTATTAGGTTAGCAACTTGCGGCCATGCTAACGCAATGCCGTCTCTAATAGAACAGCCTAGGAACGAGATTGATGACGTCATACTAGTTAGATACTACTGATTGTTAAATATGCTGTAGAATACATGGAAAACATAATTATTCCTCGTATTTTTGGTTTGTATTTTAACAATGATATAGTTTACATGAAATGTACATACGTAATATACAGTTAATAAATACAATATATTGTATAAACGTATGTAATTTTTTGGATTATATTCGACACTATTTTTTTCATATGACACAACACTGAAGAAGGCTATAATGTTAGCCGAAACGTTTTTTTTAAACCAAATAAAAATAATGAAAACCCAAATGAAAACTTAATCAGAAAATTTTAGAATAATTTTACATATAAAATGACAACGATCGTTATTTCATAGTCATCGCTGACGCCTTTTTTTCTATGGTATTGTATTATTTGCAAATATAATTTTTCGAACATTGATATTTGCAAAATATACATATAAATTTTGTGAATGCAAATAATAATACATCACTATTAGTAGATATTGAATGTTTTTTTGTTAAATTAGATTTTCAAACCCCAAAATTTAAAATATATTTTACATTTTACCCATTATCTTATGTACCTATTCATTATTAGTATTTTGTAAAACATTTGCTGCATTTGTATGGTTCATAGTTTATTTGTCAAAGTATTTATTACTATAATTAGGTATATATGTTGTGTTTATTAACTGTATATTATGTATATTTCATGTAAAACTATATCATTGTTAAAATACAAACCAAAAATAGGAGGAATAATTATGTTTTCCATGTATTCTACAGCATATTTAATAATCAGTAGTATCTAACTAGTGTGACGTCATCAATCTCGTTCCTAGGCTGTTCTATTAGAGACGGCATTAGTCTGATATTTAGAAATGTCAAAAGCTGATAACATTTCACTTTTGACAATTATGACATTTCGTGTTGATTTTTGCAAGAAGAGGAAGAACTGTCACTTGTTTTATTATTTTCCTTTTCTATTTCACGAAAGTAAAAAGAGTTACCTATCTGATTCGTTCAGGCACTTAATTTAAAGAATATCAGTAACTTTTTTGATAGAGGGGTTTTATATTTGCCATGTTGGTAAAAAATAACGGTCAAAATTCAAAGTTCATTTTATAGACTATAACACCACAGGTTCAAACCCCCAACTGTAATTATGTCCTCAATTGCCATTGCGTAAGTTAATATCGTATGTGCCCTAGATGATGTCGATGTTACCCAAAAATGAAAAAGAAAACAAAGAATTTGGATGAAAGAACTAAAAGAACTAAAGTTTTGCGCAACAACAAAGCGCAACACACACATACACTACACAACGCGTTGCGCAAACAGTCCCGTTGCACAAAAAA